TTTAACCCGAAGGTACTCAATTTTCAAAGACATCAGGAATTTGAATTAGAGAGAATTCATCCACTTTTTTTAATATTTCTTTTTCTTTTTTAGATGAATTAAAATTATTGACAATATATGTTAGAATAGACCAATATTTTACAATATTGGAACGTATATATATAAAATCATAATCTACATAAAATTAATCATCATTATCATATTTAATAATGTTTCCTATACATTTTTAATAAAATGAGTTCAATTTGTTTTTCTATGCCTTTCAGTGATCTTAATATTTCAAAAAGACCAAATTTAGAGTTGTGCTTTTTGTTTTCTGGACCGAGTTCAAACCTGCCAACCTTGGTGCATGTGGCCAGCACTGCAACCACTGCACTATGGGCGCCAAGCCCAAATTTAGACTTTTGATTTTGGAAGGTTTGTCTAATATCAAAAGGCTTAAAACATTGGTTCAAAAAGATTACATGCTGAAAGATTTTAAAGGAAATACATAGTCAACTGAATCACATGTAAATTTTTTCACAAATTCTTTTTTAATTTAATCTGTACAGACAATCTATAAACATTTTAAACCTTCTTTAACTTTTGTCCTGCCTTTCACTTTCTTATATAATCATTCTGTTTCAGGACAAAATTTATCACACAAGATTCTTTCTTTATATTATGCCATTCTTCTTTCTAATTTTTCTTATTCTTAAAATTCTCTATAAAACAGAATCTCAGTTCATTATGAAGTCACCCATTCACTCGGCCAAACTGATAATTAGAAGGTTTAAAAAGCAAGAATCTTATCCTTTGACAAAGACTCAGTTTCTCCAACAATTTAAACAACCAAATGATTACATTTTACAAATGAGAGACATTTTATGAGATATAACATTGATACACGATTTTCTTATTCAGAGCTGGACAGGGAACCCCCACTTTTCAGTCTCAGGGGAGCTCAGATATCAGACTCTCATCTCCAAGTGTAAACTCTGAGCCCAAGCAAGGTCAGGAATAAGCAGCCTGAAATCTTTTGGCTGGCTCCACCCAGACTAAGGCGCACACACCCTAATTTTCTCCCCAGAAAAAAACTGCTGCAAAGACCTAATAACCTTGCCCAAGGTGAGGGGCTAAATTCATCCATTTGGTAGAACACCCATTCAGTTTGTAAAGGTATTTTTCCATCTACCAAGTCCTGGCCGAAATATCTCTCAGGACTAACTATTTACCCCTAGACAAGGGACTCATACAGGAAATCTCTGACCTGGGCCTCCTCCCCCCTTTCGGAGGCTATCCACCCAGGAGACCTGTTGCTGATATGGATACAGCCCCGTTCCCTATGAGATTTACACTCTCTCCTCCAGATTTTCAAGGGCCATCCAGAGCTCACCAGACTGCCCAGACCACAACACTTTCCAAGGCACTGTTCCTCTGCCAATATCTCTGGCACTCTTAACTCCTGCATGCCCCTCAGTTCAACAAAATGCCATTTTATCACTGATCTGTGGCACACAGGCTCAATTCTCAATTCCTGAGGCCAAAAACTTACTGAAGAAATTTCAGTAACAAAACTACAAAACCCTTTCTAATGTCTTTTCATTTTCCCCCAAGACAGCCAAAGATAGAGAGCGGAAAACCTGGAATTTCCAGTTTCCCTCAGAACAGCCAGGGGGCAAAGTTGGAACAGGGAAGAAGGGCACACATACACATTCGTTTCACCCCGTGAATGGGGGGGGGTGGACAAAACCCCACCTATTGTTACCCATCTCAGTCATTCTCCAAGCATTCACATGCACACAATTCCAATGCATTTCTTAACCTGGGCAGCCTCGATTTCCCACTCAAGCTGCCACTTAGCCATAAGAGGCAAACCAACACTCCCCTAGGCCCTGGGAGGGGAGATCCAACTCCACCCACGGAGTTCTCTCAGTCACACCACATCCACATACTCTCACACACCTCTCACAGATCAGCTGACGCTCTAGCAGATCTGGTCTCAACAGATCTGCTGGCGATCTAACGCCCAGGAGGTGATCAGGCTCCTCTTCCACTAAAATTGTAGTGGGCCCCAAATGGGGCTCCCTGTGTAGGTACCTGTTCCTGCATGCCAGTTCCTCCTGGTGTTTGACTCCTCAAAGACCCACCAAGGGGGTCCCTTCTCAGCCCAGTCAAGGTGTCCACACAGGGAGGCCAAACTGCCTCCCTGGCGAGCTCCGTGATTCATGTCGCCCAGGCCGATCAGGGGCCCCCATGTGGGTGTCCAGAGGATTGGTAGCAACTACCAGGTGCATGTTCTCTCCAAGGGTGATCTCGCTTCCGGGTCAGGGAACCAAAACTGTTGTAGGAAGACGAGGCCCAACAGAGAGAAAGAGCACCCAAATACCATAGTTATAAGAGGAAGGGCTTTATTCATCGGCCGGGAGCTTACAGCATGGAAGATTTCCAAATGGCCACGCTCCCCGACTGGCTTGGTCTTTTCTTTTTTATTGACAGTCTACAAGTTCCACCCCACAGGTACCCTTCCCATTCGCCATTTTGAATCAAGCGGGAGATGCTAGTCCAGCCTCTACAGAACTACAGGATTTCACAGAACTTGGAAATTTCCAGGTTCTAGGAGCTTAAGCCTATAAATTCCCAAGAGCTAAGTCACCATGGAGAGGGCCCTGCAGGTGCATCCTCGTGGTCTCCCTGATAAGACCTGTTCTCCTGGACCTCGCCCCTCTCTGGTATCTTCTCTCAGGTAACCTTCTGTGTGCGTGGGCACTGGGAAGACTGACAGGTACATCGTTCCACCCCACCAAACCCCATCTTAGTTAATGGCAGCTTCACTGTCCCAAAGCCTTGTAATTATTCCAGACTTACCCCTCTCAAAGTCCTCATATCGAAAATTAATCTGCAGTTCCCATATATATTGCCTTTACAATGAATCCAGCCCCTGCATGCTACCACCACAGCCCAAGCCACTACCATTTCTCGCCCAGGTTAACAGGTCATCCCTGCTTCTACCTTTGCATGTCTTCCCAAGGCTTATTTTCTATACCATAGTCACAAAGATCAGTTGAAAACATAATTCCAATAACATCCATCCTCTACTCAGAACCCTACCGAGGCTCCCTGTTACGCTGAGTGGAAAAGCCAAAGTCCTTTACTGAAATGTAACCTCAGGGAGAGATTCCATAATCAAACTTTCAAGGTTTCAACCTGATACATGCTTACTCCCCCTTAACCTTGCTTACTTTTTTCGCCCAGCACTTATTGTTACCTTCTAACATCCTGTATAACTTATTCATGTGTCATAATTGCTTGTTGTTCCTCTTCTAGTTCTTTGTATTTCTCACTGCTATGCAACCAGTGGCTAGGACAATGTCTATTTAGGACAAATGGCTAGTTGTGTGGCCCTAGCCAAGCCAATTAACTGCACCTCAGTTGCTTTATCTGTACCCACTTTGCAATATCTTCATAAGATAGTTTGTGTATGAAGCACCTGGAAGAAAATTTATCACCCTATATTGTAACTGTCTACCTTTCTGTCTCCTTCCATTGGACTGTGACTGCCAGAGGGCAGAACTGGGTTTTATTCTTTTCCAAGGCAGAGAAATACAGCATAATTGTTAGGACATGATTTCTGGAGACAGATTTGCATGGGTTTGATTGCTGCCACTTACAAGCTACATGACAACTTGCCCAACCTCTACATGCATGCTTCAGTTTCATCACCCATTGAATAAACAGGAATACTTTTACTCCCAATTATACATAGTAATGTGTGTAGGGCCTCTGTGTGAGTTCAGCATGGCTACATTATTTTTTTTGAGACAGAGTCTAGCTCAGTCACCTGGGGTTGAGTGCTGTTGTGCTCATATTCCTAACCTACTCTAACAATCTTCCTTAGTGGCAGCAGCAAGAGAATTTCTGGTTGTTGGTGAAAACATAGCTCACAGCAACCTCAGACTCTTGTGCTCAAGTGATTCTCTTAATTCAGCCTCCTGAGCAGCTGGGACTACAGGTGTACCCCAGAACACCTGGCTATTTGTTTTTTAGAGACAGGTTCTTGCCCTTGTTCAGGCAGATCTCAAACTCCTGAGCTCAAGCAATCCACCTGCCTTGGCCTCCCAGAGTGTTAGGATTACCATCCTGAGCCTCCATGCCTGGCAGCATAGCTACATTGATGTAAAGAGATATGTCCTGTACCTGGGCCAAATGTAAACAACCTTAAAATGCACCTCGTAACAACACTACAAAATAAATAAAATATGCCAGGTGGTTGTGAGTTCTATCAAGAAAAGCCAAGCCCAGAGTTATATCATTAGTGCCAGTCGGGATAAAGCACTTACATGTGGTAAATGTGGTAGTCCATATTGGAAGCTCACTGAGCTTGATATTTTAAGGAAGAGCAAGAAAGCCATTGTAGACAGAGTGAAATGAAACCACAGATATTAAGAGAAGGGGTATGCAGACTATGTGGAACACATTAAGCCATTGTAAAGAAAGATGTAGGATTTTACTCTGAGGAAGTCAGAAACCATTGAAGGATTCTGAGCAGAAGAACCCTTCTTAAAAAGTCACTCTAGGGTGGCACCAGTGGCTCAAAGGAGTAGGGTGCCAGCCCCATATACCGGAGGTGGTGGGTTCAAACCCAGCCCCGTCCAAAAACTACAAAAATAAATAAATAATTAAAAGTCACTCTATGGCAGCTGTGTGAGGGGCAAGGGTAGAGGAAGAGTGGCTAATAGGATACTGGTTACTCTTGGTTGTTCAAGTACATTCCAGAATTTTCACCAACAACTAGAAATTCTCTTGCTGCTGCCACTAAGGAAGAGTGTTGGAGTAGGTTAGGAATATGAGCACAAATTAAAGCTCCTCTTCACCTTGACCTCTCCCTTCTCCTCCTCCTGTTCCTTAAAGGCTCTGATAAAAGCAGACATCTCATGCCCCTAATGCTCTCAGAGGTGAATGGGTTAAGCTTTAGCTCAGCCTCCTTTCTTCAGTTCTTCCTGTGTCTGTTTCCCACCGCCAAAAAGGAAGCAATCCTGTCAGTTACTGTGTGGTGGTGCTCAAGTTTCTGTCACATTCAGCAGGTGAAGTTCTCTAAAATACATTGCAAAAAATTGGGGACTTTTCATTAAATCATAGAAAATACACCTTTTTTTCTCCTGGGAGCCAAAGATATTTTAGAGAAGAATTAATCTTTCATTTCTCCAGTTTAATGTTTTCTAACAATGAGAGTCATGCAAATAGAGGTTTCCACCTGCTTCTTTCTGTGCCTTTGGCAATTCAGCTTCAGTGCCACCAGAAGATACTACCTGGGTGCAGTGGAACTGTCCTGGGACTATATACATCATGACCAGTTCGACGAGCTGCACATGGACACAAGGTAAAGGCGGGTTCTATGGGGTCTGATCATGGGCCAGGATTGTGGGGATGTGACGCTGGTTGAATGAAGGTGCAGACATCAGGTTAGGATGGCTGTGACACTAGTTGAACTCAAAGGAACATTCTCGTTAAGGCATACAGACATCTGAGCTATTGGCTTAAATGCTAGTTGCCAAGTCTTTTCATAGATCTGACCTATTGGTTGATATTTTGTTCAGTTTTGTCCATTTCTTCTCTTTGTGTGCATGCTGCCACTGTGGAATCTAGAGAGTAGAGTACAGGGAGGATGAAGGAGCAAGGGGCTTAAGAGAGAAAACAAAACATCCCTCTGCCTACCCAAGCTTCCACAGAGAGGATCAGGATGATTGAGACCCACTCAATATTATGCACAAGTTTAGTCTTTAGTTCTCTTGTGTGTACATATGGTGTGTTTTTGATAACTTTGGATACTTTGGGTATTAGGATAATATTAGCCATGAGTTCAGAAATTTTTCATCTTTTGGGAATTAGGGTACATTTTGGAAGAGTAGAGTATTAAATAACCTTTTCAATATTATCTATGGTCATCTGTTTAGTCAAAATTTTCTGCCCCTTCTGTTAATTTTGGTTATATATATGACCATATATTACTTCTATGAAGTAATCTCTATCCCTGGAATTTATAATGTACTGATATCAATTTATATGATAGTCTGTTGTGATTGTGTTAAACTCTTCTGTCTGTAGTAATTTATATCTCTTTTTTCATCCCTTATATTGCATATTTACTTATTTTTGACTCTTCTATAAAAATAATATTTCTAAGAGGTTTCTTAATTTTACTGGTCTTGTCAAGAACCATCTCTTGGTCCAATTTATTAATCCTCATTTTTCTTTCTGTTGCATTAGTTTCTGCTTTTACTTTCATTAATTAAATTCCTTTTGCTCATTTTCTTGTTCATTGCTTATTGAATTGAATGCTGAAATCATTTATGTTAAATTTTGTTTTGTCTTCTTTAAATGTGTATTATAAAGATATAAACACATGTAAATATTAAATGTCACTTTATTAGTCTTCTTTGTTCTATTTGGCTCTCCACCCTCCTTCCACATAACCCCAGTATAATATATATTCATGAGGTTTTCTTGATAATTATTTGTTTTTAAAAATTGGCACATTTCTCACTTATTAACACATAGTAAAACTCTCTCCAAGTCAATTGTACCATGCGTTTAGTCAATGCGTTTTTTTTTTTTTTTTTTGCCACTGTATTCTACATCATTACATTACTAAATACTGGTGCTTTTATTTCTTGTACAACACATTGTCAGGACGGATGTTACTAGAACAAAGGGGAAATTTCCCTTTTAATTTTAATTTCCAAAAAGACTGGAAATTTTCATACTTTTCTACCATCAAGTTATGATACTGCCCTTCTCTCTGCATTCACATTGGTAATAAGTTTTATCATGATTTTAAATTTTGCCAATTTTATAGGTATAGAGTGTTGTACCATTTCTTTAATTGTCCTCTTTTATATATATTTTTTTCTGTTTTATTTTTTTGGAGACAGTCTCACTTTGGTCCCCACATTAGAGTGCTCTGGCATCAGAGCTCACAGCTCTTGGGCTTCAGCGATTCTGCGCCTTAGCCTCCTGAGTAGCTAGGACTACAGGCACCCACCACAATGCCAGGCTATTTTTAGAGATGGGGTCTCACTCTAGCTCAGGCTGGTTTCAAACTCGTGAGCTTAGGCAATCCACCTGCCATGGCCTCCCAGAGTGCTAGGATTACAGGCATGAGCCACACTGCCTGGCTACTCTTTTTTATTTCTAATGAGGTTGAACATCTTTTTAAATGCTTGTTGGCTATTAGATTTATTTGGGGGTATTTGACTATTCATTTGCTTTGCCCATTCTTATTGGTTTCTTACATTTAATAAAAAAAGTATATTGTAAGTATTAATTATTTGTCATGTATATTGCAATTTCCTCAAAGATCTATTATCTATTGAGTTTGTTTATAACTTTTACCATTTTTTTAAATCTTTAGTCAAATATATTTTTTCTTTTGCATCTCCAGAGTTGGTGAGGTTGGTTAAAATATCTCCCACACCTCAAGATTCACATGTAGTCTCTCAGATTTTCTTGTAAAGTTTTTACTGTTCTGCTTTTTACATTTATGGCTTCAGTTCATCTGATAATTATGTTTTGTGTATGGCACAAGAGAAAGATCGGTCTAGTTTTATTTCCATTCAAATTAATAGCCTATTGTAATAGCACCATTTATCAAATAATGAATTTCTTTTTCTTTTTTTTTTTTTTTTTGAGACGGAGCCTCAAG